GCTGAGTATTTTTTTTTTTTGTCAGTCGTGGGGCTTAAACTCTGGGCCTGAGCACCATCCCTCAGCTCTTCAGCTTAAGGCTAGCACTCTACCACTTGAGCCACAGCCTATTTTCTGAGTGGTTTATTGGAGATAAGAGTCTCACAGACTTTCCTACCCATGCTGGCTTTGAACTGTGATCCTCAGATGTCAGCCTCCTGAGTAGCTAGGATAACAGGCTTGCTGAGATGGAGTATATAGAACTTTTCTTCATGAGATGGCTTTGAACTATGTTCCTCTGATCTCAGTCTCCTGAGTAGCTAGGATTACAGATATGAACTATTGGTACCTGGCTTCCACATTTTATTTTTATTTCTTTCCCAATCTTCAAATCTACCAGTTTCCTAATTTGTCTGCCTGGATTATCCTGGCTAGCTAAATCAAACTAAATTCAATATTCTTCCAGTCACAAGCAATATTTTGAACTTCGGAGATAAGTATATGTAAGTATGTTAAAGGGAAAAGTAATCAAATTTAAAGGACTTTCTGAGGCAAGTAAATGACAAGTTAAGGAGATTATGAAGACTTTAAAAAGGAAGAACCATCAAAATTTTGTAAATGTTCCTTTTATACTGATTTTTTTGTTTGTTTTATGTCATAAGAAAAAATATTGTCAGGGATTGTGATTTATCATCTGGGAATCTTCAGAATCTAGAACAAATGGCCCTTGAGTTATGATTCAATTTGAGATTCTTTTTGAGTTAGTTATGATGTGAAAGTGATATGTAGAAACTATACTTTGACTTTTCCTGGACTAGCAATGTACAATAAGATTCTCAGCCAGGGATGGGAGTGTGGCTTAGTAGTAAAGTGCTTACCTCACATGCATGAAGCTCTGAGTTAAATTTCTCAGTACCACATACACAGAAAAAGCCGGACGTGGTAGAGTACTAGCCTTGAGCAAAAGAAGCCCAGGGACAGTTCACAGCCCTAGAGTTCAAGCCCCAGGATGGGGGGTGGGGGGAGAGGGAGAGAGAAGATTCTCAACCAACCATCTACAGCATATCATTTTCCCAAACCCAAGCTTTGATGTTCTGTAGGCTAGGTGTATCAAATGTATTTTGACATATTATAGTCTGTTGTTTGTAACATGGATCATCTGTAGATATTCTTTCTGTCCCTTTTTCTTCTTGCAGAAAGAGTCTGTCAAAGGAGCTGATATTTGGTCATGGCTTAGATATATCAGGCTAGCCTAACTATTATAATAAACTTAAAGACTCATTAGATAAACATAATAAGAGTTTATTTATTTACCTCTTCCACATTCGGCCAGAAGATGGGAAAGAAGGGGAAGAAAAATTATGCACGTTCCCTACAGGTCAGATCTAGGAGTGGCGAAGTCTTCTCCTGCATTATGTACAGAGGCTACAAAATGTCATTTAGCTGAGTCTCTGGAAGGAAAGGAGCCATACTTTGTTAAGTTTATGAAAGATTTCCCCACATAAATCTTCTTAGATTATTCCTCTTAGCAAAATTAAAATTTCTCCAGAGAACCACACAGACATCCAGGTGCAGAGAACAAAGAAAGGTTTATTGCCAGGAAAGGGGGCCAGCAAGACTCCTTTTCACAAGGGAGGAATGAGAAGAAGCACCGGCTATTGTCTGGGGTGACCTATATAACCTAGGAGGTTTAGGAGGGGCTAGAAGTGGGGCTAGGAGGCGGAGACTCTGGTGTGGACATGTGGCCAGGGGCTTCATCATGTTGGACTAGGATTTATGGCTGCTATCCAAATAGTAGATAAGGGTCCTGCAACTGCCTAGACCTGAAGGTCACTCTAAGGGGCTCTTGTTGCCTTAGGTGGTGGTAGCTGCCCCCAGAGAAGCGCCATCCCAATGTACAGGGGGTTGGAAGTTGATTATTTACTGCCTTTACTACATGGGCCTAGTGTTGCCTAGGAAGGGAGCATGCTAACCTGTGGAGAAGGGAAGAAATGAACTAAGCTATGGGAAGGGACTCATTTTTGCTAACAATTCCTGTCAGTACCCGGCTCAGAGATACAATCGTTACCTGTGGGGGCCTCAATCTAGTAGAGAAGGGAACCATAGAACAGTGCAGTGACATAAGAGTGATTTATACAAAATGCCATGGGAGATGAGACACAGGGAAGAATGGTGGTTCCTGAATAGCTAGCTACACTTGTTCCTGGGGACTGGATCTCCAGACTACAAAAACCCAGATGATTTGTTCTTCACAGAAACATCGGTATTTTCCCAGGATTTCTTCACGGGTTGGAGTCATCTTCTTTCTTTCTTTTCCCAGTCATTGAGGGTCCTGAGATGTTAGATTTACCTGGTGCTGTGTGTCCTTTTTTCTTTCTGCAGCTCATGTGACTCTGGATCCAGATACAGCCTACTTCGAGCTCTTTGTTTCTGAAGATTGCCGAAGTGTGAGCCGAAAAAATATATGGCAGGATCTTCCTGAAAAACCCCAAAGGTTCTTATTTGACCCTTGTGTACTAGGCCAAGAGGCCTTCTGGGATTTCTGGGGGCTCGGTGTTTGTGAAGAAAACTTCAAAAATACATTGTGGGTTTCAGAGTCACCTCAACATGGATTCTGGGCCATGGAACTGTACAGTAATAAGTATCAGGCCATCACCTCACCTCCAACTGTCCTTCCCTTGAGTAGCCCCCTTTGTCAGGTAGGAATCTTCCAGAACTATGAAGCTAGGTATGTTTCCTTCTATAATGTGCCTGAAGAGTCTCACATCTACACCTTTCCCCAGGCCTCCTTCTCTCAACCCCTCCGACCCTATTTCTGCTTCTTTTTCTATCACCCAGCTCCTCTGACAATCTGTCACAGAGATGAACACTGCTTGGCCTTTCCCTCAGTTAAACCCATGGGAAAGAACTCTGCACTGGGCTTTAAAAGTCACTTCTAGTCACTTCTGACTCTTCACTGGACTTCAGGAAATCTTTTATATTTCATCAACAGTTAAGTACATATTCTCTCTAACATTTCTTTCTACTGAAAAAAAAAGGAACTATGTGCATCTGATCATACTAAATGAAATTTATCAAAATGGCCTCTAGGAAATGGAAACAAAAGTGTTTTTTCTTTGGTTTTTTTTTTTCTTTTTGTCTTGTTTATGTCCAGGAATGTAAGAGGAGGCACAGAAACAGAGGGACAAAGGGTAAACAAATGCAGCAGTGGTACTCACTAGACACTATGTTGAAAATAAACTATACAACTTGTGGATGGGGATGGGAGGGAAAAACTGGGAGAGAGTGGGGGAGTGTACTCTTGGTCTGACTTATGTAACTGTACCACCTCTGTATATCACCTTTATAATAATAAAAAATTAGATAGACATATCTTTAAGTTCAACTACTCTTTTTTTTTTTTTTTGGTCAGTCATGGGACTTGAACTCTGGGCCTGGGCGCTGTCCTTGTGCTCTTCAGCTCAAGGCGAGCATTCTACCTCTTGAGCCACTTCCGATTTTCTAGTAGTTTATTGGAGATCAGAGTCTTATGGACTTTTCTGCCCGGCTGGCTTTGAACCATGATCCTCAGATCTCAACCTCCTGAGTAGCTAGCATTACAGGCTTGAGCCACTGGCGCCCAGCTTCAACTACTCTTAAGCTCCATCCTAGTCAACATGGAGTCTCAGTTCTTTTGACTTTTACAATCAGATACGCAGTATTTTCTTTCTGTATCTTCTGGGGGTCTGGGAAAAAGGGCTAGTGCATGTTGTTCCAGAGCTGAGTGGTACAGAGGGCCAAGGAATAACAGTCCAATACCACAGAGTCTTGTCAGGAATTGTCATCCCAGCTGGAAACTGAAAAACAAAAAGCAGAGGCAAGAAATATGGATACAAAGATGACAAAGATAAGAAATATAGAAAGGAATGTCTATCTGATCTTCTTTTACTTAAAATGACCATCTTAGTATCATGGAGAAATTAAAGATAGATGCTGTTTTTTTTTTTTTTTTTTGCCAGTCCTGGGGCTTGAGTAGGCCTGGGCACTCTCTGAGCTACTTTTGCTCAAGGATAGTGTTCTACTGCTTGAGTCACAGTGCCACCTCTGGCTTTTCTGAGTAGTTTACTGGAGATAAGAGTCTTACGGACTTTCTTCTCCCCACTGGCTTCCAACCACAATCCTCACTCAAATCTCAGCCTCCTGAGTAGCTAGGATTACAGGCATGAACTTCTGGCTCCCAGCTAGCAGTGGTCATCTTTAATACCTGGAACAACAGTAGGAAATACGATGTAAATAGGACCAAAGTCAAAACATTTCAGTTCCACATGAAAACTTCATTTTATTTTGAGTCATAGAAAACCTTGCAAGGTACTAAATGAAGCTCGTAGAGAAGTTACTTTCCAGGGCATCCTGCTATTCTGGGACTTAATTTTACATCATATACCACATGATAGCAACTCTGAACTCCAAGCTCCAGATCTCAGCCTCCTGAGAGGCTTACAGGTGTGGATCACTGACGACAGGCCCCAATAGTTTTTACATGAAAGACAAGGCCATCCTAACAGATACAGCAGCCTCCTCCCTATTTCTTGTTTCTGAAATCTCTTTCACTGCACCATCTCAAAGGCTAATAACTTGAATAAGATTCTTCTTACTATGGAAAGAGGGTGACTCTTGTTCACATAATATCCTTGCCCTTCCAGTCCTAACCATGAGATACTTCCACACAGAACCCACATATAATGGTCAGCAGCCACAATTAGCTTGAAATCTCAGCTTTAACAACAACAAAGAAAAGTATTACCTTGTTCTGAACACGCAAAAAGGAAATAAAAGATACTCTCAAAAGGCTATTTGCCGTTTGGTATTCCCCCCCTCCCCGCCCCCCCCCCCCGCCCCTTTCAGTTTTTCTAGGTATTCTCCCTAGTAACTGATGATAGAAAAGCCGAGGAATGCCATTGGCTACCGAGCCACAGCGGACCAATCGTGAGCTCTAGAGCACTCATTGGAAATTTGGGGTTAGGAAAGCGAATGGACCGGATCCGAGGACTGGCGTCCGGTATCCTCGTATCCTGTAAATAATGCAAGGCGAAGAAAAGTTCTTTTCGAGCGGCTTGTTCTCAGGTGGAAATTGTGACCATGAACTTGTTGGAGAAAAGAGCAATGATGGTAAAATTGTCCTTTGTGGGAGAGAGAAGAAACGAAAGCCGAGAGGTTAATTCCGGAAGGGAAGGAAGGGAAGGGAATCGCCCGGTGGATCCGGGGTGGTGAGCCGTAGAACGGAATCTTCTCTGGAGGAAGGGCCGGGTCCCTGGCCAGGCGAAGCCCACGGTGGGGAGGCACAGCCGCCCCTGCTTTACCAGGAGTCGATCGGCCAGGCTCACGGGGAAAAGGGAAGGAAGGTGTGGAAGAATATCAAGTGACAACCGAAGAAACCGGACTCTGGAAAGAAAAACGAGCCGAACAGGGGAGAAAACTGTCTGCCTGATGTTTTTGTTCTTTTGTTTCATGGAATGTAAAATGAACCTATCTATCAGGGTATACCGGAACCACAAAATGAAGGGATCTGCCCAAGACAGGAGTTAGGATGAAAGTCTGCCCTAGATGAAAACGACTTGGCCGATTTCTCCTCCTATGTAACCTTAGGCGTTGGGTCCCTGCCTGGCCTAGGTGAATCCCATCCTGGAGACGTATGGAGTCAGTTGCTTCACTGCACCTCAGCCTGGCGGCCTCTCTTCTCTCCCCCTTCCTCAGCCTGTGTGCACTGGTCTCAGGTAGGTTTGTATACCGCTTGCTCCTAATCAACTTCTCAAAAAGCAGCCTCAAAACTTAAGTCTGTGAACAAGAGCCCGAGGGAGGACTGCAAACTGTGTAGACTCATCCTTGAATTCTGAATTCTGGATTTAGACTAGTGTGGTTCAGCAGAAAAGTATCGAGACCCACGAAAGAGAGCTGCACACAGAGCTGTAAATTTTAAAGCAGCAACGTTTCAGAAAATAAGAAGCAGATGAAACAATGTTTAATAGTTTGTTTACTTGCCAATAACTAAATATTATTATTGAAGTACTACTTAATGCAAAATATTACTAAGAAAATATTTAATATTTTAAATTCTAACTTTTTACACCTGGCCCAAGTGGCTCACGCCAGTAATAAAATTCCAGTTTGCAGTGATAAAGGCTACATCAAGTCTTTAATTAAAAATAAGTTCCTTATAAATGTTAGAAGTTCCAGGTGCTGGCTCATGACTGTAATCTTTGCTACTCAAGAGGCTGAGATCTGAGGATTGAGGTTTGAAGCCAGTACAGACAAGAAAGTTCATGAGACTCTTATATCCAATTAACCACCAAAAAGGCAGAAGTAGAGCTGTCAATTAAGTAAAGCTATAGAGCACCATCCTTGAGCAAAAAAGTTAAGGGATTGCTGGGTTCCAGTGGCTCATGCCTGTAATCCTAGCTACTCAGGAGGCGATCTGAAGATCACAATTCAAATTCAGGTCCGTAAAACTCTTATCTCTAATTAACTACCACCAGAAAACCAGAAGTGGTGCTAATTTTCTGTCTTTGTTGAACAGGCCAGTTTTCTGTTGTGGGGCCAACTGATCCCATCCAGACTATGGTGGGAGAAAACACCACATTACACTGCCACCTGTCACCTGAGAAAAATGCTGAGGACATGGAGGTACGGTGGTTTCGGTCTCAGTTCTCCTCTGCCGTGCTGGTGTATAAGGGCAGGCAAGAGAGAACAGAGGAACAGATGGAGGAATATCAAGGAAGAACCACCTTTGTAAGCAAAGACATCAACAAGGGAAGCGTGGCATTGATTATTCACAGTGTCACAGCCCATGACAATGGCATCTATCACTGTTACTTCCAAGAAGGCTGGTCCTATGATGAGGCTGTCATGCGCCTTGTGGTGACCAGTAAGTCACTTCAAATTGCTCTATTGCTTTTCTCCAGCATGACTTTTGGGGAAAGTGTTTCTCCTAACTGCAGGCCTATTGTATAGCAGCAGATTTACTTGTGTGTTTATTTCTACAATCCTTTACATAGAGAGGGTAACCTTTAAGTGGGTTTGTTCTGTTAAGCTGTAGACATTGGTTCTTGAGAAGCACACACAAAACTTAGTTGTGACCTTGAGTAAAGGAGTACAGTTAATCCCTGAAGATAATGCTTACTTTTGCTTTATCATTGAAACTGGTTACTTTTGAAAGTGCAGACAGCATTGTCATTAATTACACTGGGACAACTGATAACAGGTCTGTCTAATGAACTACAACATAAATACATATAATTTATTGAGCAAGATTAATCTTGCCTTTTTCCCCCTTTTCCCCAAATACTGATTGTAGAACATGTACATAGATAATTTAATAAAGCATGATTAAGAGGCAAAATTATGTACTCAGTTTGGTAGATTCACAGAGACACCGACTGAGATTCTGCCAGGAGAAATTTTTTTTTTTTGGTCAGTCATGGGGTTTGAAATCTGAGCCTGGGTGCTGTCCTTCAGCTCTTCAGCTCAAGACTAGTGTTCTACCACTGGAACTACAGCACCACTTCTGGTTTTTTGAGTGGTTTCTTGGAGATAAAAGTAAAAGTCTCACAGCCTTTTCTGCCTAGGCTAGCTTTGAACCACAATCCTCAAATCTCAGCCTCCTAAGTAGCTAGGATTATAGACGTGAGCCACCAGCGCCCAGCACCAGGCTCCAGGAGAAATTTGATGGGCTTTAGAATAGAAATGACAATAAAGCCAGAATTTCTTTTCTTTTTTCTTTTTTTGCCAGTCCTGGGCCTTGAACTCAGGGCCTGGGCACTGTCCCTAAGCTTCTTTTGCTCAAGGCTAGTACTCTACCACTTGAGCCACAGTGCCACTTCTGGCTTTTTCTATTTATTTGGTACTTAGGAATTGAACTCAAGGTTTCGTGCATGCTAGGCAAGCATTCTACCACTAAGCCACATTCCCAGCCCCAAAGCCAAGATTTCTAGAGTGTATTAATAATGAATTTGAGGAACCTCATTCCCCAAAGCTAGTATAATCTAGTTTAAAAGAAACTTTTGGACACTGGAAGAGCCTTTAAGACATAGAAGAATTGATGGTGGCATTTTGGCATTGGAGTCCATTGAAGTAAGTGCTTTAATTTCCTGTCTTTAGTAGAATTTATTGAGTAGGCTTAATAGAGGAACTACTGTATAATAAAAATTTGTATGATCAGACAGATCAGGCCCTGTACTAATCCCTTCACACAGATTATTTTAGTTGATCATGTTAACAACCACATAAAGAAAGCAATTTCATTTTACTTTTACAGTTGAAGCTATAAGGTTCATAGAGGTTACTTCATTGATAAGTAGTAGAGTCAACTGCCATGTAATAGAAAATGTCACCCAAAGGGATTGAGTCAAAATCAGGTAAGGTTTAAGGTTTAAGGTAAAGAAGTGTGGATCATGGGGCAAACAGGACACTTCACTGGTGTGTAGACTAAAATGTTATGGAGTGTGAGGTGGTAAAGATATATGGTAGTGGGGCTGGGAAGATGGCTCAGTGGTAGAGCGCTTGCCTTGCATGCCAGAGGCCCTGGGTTTGATTCCTCAGCACCACATAAGAAAAAAGCCGGAAGTAGTGCTGTGGTTCAAGTGGTAGAACGCTAGCCTTGAGCTGAAGAGCTGAGGGACAGTGCCCAGGCCCAGAGTTCAGGCCCCATGACCAGACCCAAAAAAAAAAAAAAAGATATATGGTAGTGATGAAAGTGATAAAAATCATACTCTTATTATAATAGCTACCATTTATTGGGCAATCCCTGTCCACTAAATGCAATCTGTGCAGTACCTCATTAACTTCTCCCAACAATTTTAGATAAGGAAATATATCAACATGGATAATCCACATTAGCAAGAAGTAGAGCAAAGATTTAAATCTGAATTTTCCTGATTCCATGGCCCCTCCTTTGTGTAAGTATTTTGCCTCTCAAGCCTTCCTAATAGCACATTTTTCAGCATTCAGACCATACCTTCTTTCATTGCACAGCACAGGTTTGGCTATTAGGTAAGAGGAACATTAATGTTTTGCTTCTTAGAACAATACCATTTTTTTCTCACAATCTGCCCTGTCTTCTAAGCCAGCTACCTATTTATCACTGTTATGGGTGCAGAGAAACCGGGAACAAATGTTTTATAATACATTCTACCAAGATACAAAGAATTACCAATTCCCAATATAATTTGCCACAGTCCATTTGGATATGAGCAGGCAGTTGAAAGGAAAGAGGAATGAGTTGAGTTCTATGGGTTTGGGGTTGACTCAAGGTGATATTGTTGCGATTTTATGAATTAAAAAAAATTGTATGATCATTGGGCATATGACCAAAGGGACAGAAATCTCCCAGGAACGTGTCTGCAGTGTCCTCACATCCAGTCAGGAAGCCTTAATTGAAGACTCTTTTAAACATATAATATGATGAGGAAGAGTTTAGATCCACAGTATTTTTTTTAGGATAGTCTTCTGATGACATATGCTGGGGAATGATATTGTTATTGTAGCTATAATGCATTCAGATCTTCCTAACAGGGGAGGCTTATACAAAACTACCTAATTAGTTGAACTTCTCAGAGGTAAACATCTCTGAATTGGGACAAAGACCAGCTTTACAGGATCTCTTTACTCACTCTCCTAAAAATATCAGCTTCTCAAAGTCAAAGTTCAACAAAACAAAACACCAGGAAAGGGGTACTTGAAAGGGGATAGTGTGAGGTCTAGGGAAAAGGTAGATGAAGAGGAGGAGAATGCAGTCAAGAATTCCATGTATATCTTACACAAGAAAGATGAGTGAGGGAAGGGGTGGGAAGGGAATGGATGGGTGAGAATGTTGAAAGGGGTGATATGGATCAAAATGCATTGTATTCATAAACTGCTTTGTTAAAGGACAAAAAAAAAAAAATATCAGCTTCTATAGTTAGTAGATAACTGGGAGCTTTTCTTTTGTTTGTTTGTTTTGTCAGTCATGGGGCTTGAACTCAGGGCCTGGGCGCTGTCCTTGTGCTCTCCAGCTCAAGGCTAGCACTCTAGCACTTGAGCCACAGTACCACTTCCTGTTTTCTGAGTGGTTTATTGGAGAGTCTCACAGTCTTTCCTGCCTGGGGTGGCTTTGAACTGCAATCCTCATATCTCAGCCTCCTGAGTAGCTAGGATTACAAGTGTGAGCCACCAGCGCCCGGCTGGGAGCTTTTCTTTACTTGGCCAGTAAGAAAGAAACTGTGGTGTGAAGTCCTGAGCTTGAAGAGAAGACAGTATCTTGAGATATTAAGATTATGGAAGCCTGGCAAGTTTCCATCCTTGTTATATTATTCTAGAATTTCAAGAGGCTAAGGTTCCTGATAAGGAACAGAAAATGAATCCCTAATCCTGGGGCCTGAACTCTGGGCCTGGGCGCTGTCCCTCAGCTCTTCAGCTCAAGGCTAGCGCTCTACCACTTGAGCCACAGCGCCACTTCCGGCTTTTTTCTTTTTGCTTATGTGGTGTTGAGGAATCAAACCCAGTACCTCATGCATGCAAGGCAAGTGCTCTACCACTGAGCCACCTTCCCAGCCCCGCCTATCTGTTTTAGATTGGAGTGAAAAATTAAACTCTCTGGAAGAATAAATCAACTAGCATTTACAGCAGACATCACAGAACCACAATGCTGTGATGGTGCCTGAATGTGGAGTACAAGGAAAAGATTATGATGTAATCCTGTGCTCTCAGAGCTCTCATTTTATTTGATATATTGGTCTTCTCCAACATCAAGCTTCCTTCTTTCTTCTTTTTTCTCTTTTCCTGTTTCTTCCTCCCTCTATCCCTTTTTGTCTTCCTTTTTTCACAGATGGCATACTACAGCAATGCACGGAATTTGCATATTCAGTATCCAGTGCTCAATTGCACTATACCTTTTGCCTTGGCTTCTACTATAAAGAGCTGATCCTCTAAGACATAATGACTAAAACAGCACTGCCTGTTTTGTAGTTTTGGGGATTGAATCCAGGGCTTTGTACATACCAGGCATGGTACTGAGCATGTACACTGAGCTATATCATCAGCTCAACCACTGCATTTTTAACTGAGCCCTCCTCTCCCTTGTAGGCATGGGCTCTAAGCCTCTCATTGAAATGAATGGCCATGAAGATGGAGGCATCCTGCTGGAGTGCACATCTGGAGGGTGGTACCCAGAACCCCATGCGGTATGGAGAGACCCATATGATGAGGTCATACCTTCCTTGGAGGAGTCTTATGCTGCTGACAGTGATGGTCTCTTCATGGTCACCATGACTGTGATCATCAGAGACTGTTCTGTGAGGAATATGACATGCTCCATCAACAACACTCTGCTTAGACAGGAGATGAGAAGTGTGATTTTCATTCCAGGTCAGTTTTCTGCCCTGTGAAGACTCACATTTGAAGGTAGGGTTCTCAGCAGACACATTGAAGTGGTAGTGAATAGGACCTGAGTGAGAGAAGAGTGTTAGTGGAAGCTGAACCCTTAAGAGCAGAAAGCTAAAGCTAAGCTGAGGCCTTTTCTTTGGCACAAGAAGAAATCAAGTCATCTCAAAATACATATGTAGAAGCTTCTTCACTTAGGGTATATCTGTTTTTCCCACCCAGTGCTGCAGCAAAGTTTAAACATTAAGAGCAACCATATGCCAGGTATGATGGTATATGCCTATATTTCTAACACTTGGGAAGTGAAGGCAGAAGGATTATAGATTTGAGGGCAGCCTATGCCACATAACAAGCTCCAGAACAGACTAGGATACATAACAAGATATTTCTTATAAGAAAGAAAAACTACCCCTGCAAAAGAAACCCCAAAAGAACAATTATAAACCATGGACAGAGGTATGGAAAAATGACTCTATACCCTGTGGAACTCTCCTGTTGAAGATCTCCTTTTAGGGCCAGGGGATTTCCCAAGGGACACCTCTAGGGAAATTCTCTGTCTTCCATAGATTCTTCAACAAATACTCAAAAGTATCTTCCATGTTAAAGACACTAGTCTAGAGTCCAAGGTTAAATCACTGAACATAACACATGAAGATGCATGATCTCATGGAGTTTACATTCTTAGAGAGCAATAAATTCAATGATGATTGAAAACAAGTAGCCAAATAAACTGAATGTTCTATAAGATTGTTATGAACACTGTGGGAAAAATTAAACAAGGAGGATCCAGGAAGTAACAGGAATGTAGAATGTTTACATTATTAACAGGATGGCTGGGCACTGGTCATGCCTGTGAGGCTGAGATCTGAGGATCGTGGTTCAAAGCCAGCCTGGGCAGGAAAGTCGGTGAGACTCCTATCTCCAATAAACCACCAGAAAACTAGAAGTGGTGCTGTGGTTCAAGTGGTAGAACATTAACCTTAAGCTGAAGAACTGAGGGACAGAGCCCCTGCCCCCCAGACTTCAAGCCCCATGATGGTCAGAAAGGTCTGTAAAGAGAAATAAGGGAACTAAACAAATAAGAGAATGAGCCAAACAGATATTTAAAGATTTAAGCACCATAGGTAATAGGAAAAATACATGCCAAGGACTAAGGTATGAGTGTGCCTAGGAGTTTCAGCCCAGCTATGTGGCTGGAGCTGAGTGAATACAAGCAATGGGAGGAGATGAATTCACAGAGGCCACATTATATATAGCCATATAGGCCACAGACTTTGGCATTTAGTCTGATAAGTTAAGAAAACATTGGGGGGTGGGGGTTTAGCAAAGAATGAACATGATCTCAGGCTCCTCTATTGAGAATCAACTGACACGACAAGGGCAGAACAGACTGCACAAAGGAAGGGTGGGATAAAGATGAAGGGAATGAAACATTCTAGGCAAAGATGAGTGAGTGGCTTATATCCAGGGTGGTGGCTGTGGTGATTAAACATAGCTGGTTAGCTTTATTCAATGGAATTCTTTCCATGGTGATCTCAGGTGGTCTGCTTTTCTGTCTCTTGAACTCTAGCCTCCATACTTGTTATGGGGTCTGCCAGCACAGAGCTGCCATCTTTCTCCTCCTAGAGAAAGGGGACCTGCGGGAGCTCTTTAGATATACTCCTGAAGCACATCCTTGCTCCTGGTGTCCTGTTTCCCACTAAATGGTACTTTCCAGCTCCACTTTCAGAATCCTTCATGCCCAGCCTATCTTCCTGGATGGTGGTCCTGACTGTCATCTTGCCTGTTCTGATCCTCCTAATATCTGGAAGCATCTGTTTCATCAAGAAACTACACAGCAGAAAGGAAAGTCTGTCAGCAGAAAAAGAGGTTGAATATGAAGAAAAAGAAATTGCACATAAGGAACTGGGTAAGGGTGTGTGTAAGAAGAGAAAGAATCAAATAAAAAGTAAAAAGGTGGAAAGACAATTTATTGTCATAGAAAGGATGCTGTTCTGCTAGATAGAAGATTGAAGAATAGGGAAGAAAGGCAGCAACAGAAGCTTGAAACTCTCAAACCTCACACATCCTTATCCCTATGATCGTGCTTTCTTCTGACTTGCAAATGTTTATTTACCCAGCTTCAACAATATTAAAATTTTCAACAAAAGTAGGCCTACAAAATTATTGATACTGCCAGGCTCTGGTGGCTCACACCTGTAATCCTACAGGAGGCTGCCATGTGAGGATTGTGTTCAAAGCCAGCCCAGGCAGGAAAGTCCATGAGACTCTTATCTCCAATAAACTACTCAGAAAAAGCCAGAAGTGGTGCTATGATTCAAATGCTATGATTCATTTCTAGCCTTGAGCCCAGAGGCTCAGGAACAGAACCCAGGCCCTGAGTTTAAGCCTCAGGATAGGAAAAAAAAAAAAAAGTATTGATACTATCCAGGGCCTTGATTACATATCCTTTCTGGTTTCTGACAGTTTCCAGGTGTGCTAGGGGGTAGCGGGGAGTGGGGTTGGGGTGGGAGTGGTATCATTTAAATAAGAAAAATTCTGCATCTACATCATTGAACACAGACCCATTACTTTATTTTTGTTTCTTTTCTCAGAACAACTTCAAGAGGAACTGCGTAAGTTTAGCCTTTCCTGAATTACTACTTGTACTATTTGTGTTCTGCTTGGCTAGCCATTATCTCCTGACATTCACCTCTCTGTCAAATGCAGGATGGAGAAGAACTCTCTTAATTGCTGGTGAGTGCCTCTGCTATTCCCCTGGGGTCTTGTGCTTCCCTCTCTAACCAGCCAACAGGACTCTTCAGAAGACATGAACAAGGGGCCAAGCTGGCTGCAGTGAGGAAGCAAGAAGCTGCAGGTGGTTTGTCAGCAATGGTCCACCAAAATTGGACCCCAGCTTGTTTTGTTTTTGGTCAGTCATGGGGCCTAAACTCGGCCTGGCGCTGTCCCTCAACTCTTCAGCTCAAGGTTAGCACTCTACCAGTTAGGCCACAGAACCACTTCTGGCATTTTCTGCTTATATGGTGCTGAGGAATCGAACCAAGGTCCTCATGCATGAGGGACAAGCCCTCTACCACTGAGCCACTTTCCCAGCCTATGGACCCCAGTTTTTCTCTCAGGGAATTTTCCATATATTTTCGTCAGTCCTATGTTTCACATTCCACAATCCTTTCTTTAGAATGATCCATACTTACCAGAAAAGACTGCCTCAAGAGTAACTTTTAAAGAAGTTGATGCTCTTGAATCTTGGATTGGTTGGGAAGAAGAACATTCCATCTTAGCTAATTTATAATGTAGGAGATGGTTACATTGCACAGTCAAATGCCAAAGTGGAAAAAATGCAATAGAAAAAGCAAGAAAGTTGAAGAGTACACCATTATGTGTCCAGAAATGCCCTCCTGCTCTCATAAGCACACTGATATTCTGTGTATAACTTTTGAGAGGAAGAGGAGATGTGAATGTGGAAGAGTCTGTGTTTTCTGAAAAGTCTTATTGGCTGGTTAGTAAATCATGATTTAAGATTGGGGAGAGTGGGACGGAACATCTTTTTGATGGTTTAAGTAAGTCGCATGGTTTCTGACTAAAGAGAGTTCCAAAGATCATTAATAGACAAGGGGTGGAACTGACAATGCTGAAAGTAGGAATTTTAATTATGATACATTTGCTACAGTTTCTGGGTTTCTTAGAGCTCCAGTGCACCTCTACTGAAGGCAATGTGCTTGTCACTGACAGAATATCAACCATAGTGTTTCCCAGCCTAGAAGCTGCCTAGGTTGAGTAGTCTTCATAGAAAAAGCTAATACATAAGAGAATCCCCCATCCACTCTCTGGACCTTTCCAGGGATAAAAGCTTATACAGTCTTCAGGGATCTTGAGACCTCAGCAACTAACCTTAAGATTTCTTCCACAGCTGATGTGGTTCTGGATCCAGATACTGCTCATCCTGAGCTCTTTCTGTCAGAGGACTGGAGAAGTGTGAGACGGGGTCTTTCTCGGCAGAGCTTGCCTGATAACCCAGAGAGGTTTGATTGTCGGCCTTGTGTCTTGGGCCAGGAGATCTTCTCATCCGGGAGACATTACTGGGAGGTGGAGGTTGAAAATGTAATGGTGTGGGCTGTTGGAGTTTGTAGAGACAGTGTGGAGAGGAAAGGAGAGGCCTTGCTGCTTCCTCAGAATGGCTTTTGGACCCTCGAGATGTTTGGGAACCAGTACCGGGCTCTGTCCTCCCCTGAGAAGATTCTTCCTCTGAAAGAGCGCCTCCGCCGTGTGGCCATCTTCCTGGACTATGAAGCTGGAGATGTTTCCTTCTACAACATGCGGGACAGGTCACACATCTACACATGTCCCCGTTCAAACTTTTCTGGTCCTCTGAGACCCTTTTTTAGGCTGGGTTCTGATGACAGTCCACTCTTCATCTGCCCAGCGTTCAGAGGGGCTCAGGGGGTCACAGTGCCTGAAGGGGGGCTCATTTTACACAGAGCAGGGACCCACCATCACCCACAGAACCAATTTCTTGGTCTCAGACTCATGTAGGGATGCCATGGCCCTCAGCTACCACTACACAGAGCCCTGGTGGAAAACGGGCCCTTCTTCCCTGTGATCACAGAACACATACTGCTTCCTTCATACTCACTTCAGGCTCCAGCAGTTCACTCCCTCACTAGGCTGTGGCTTTAGTCATTCATTTATTTGTAACTGTGGAGCAGGGGCCAATCTTAAGAAACAACTACTATTCCACCTCTCTCAGGCAAGAACAGTGCAAGAGGGCGAAGGGCAGAAAATCTGTTGTTTCAGCATAAAGCAACCTTGAGCAAGATTGAAGCCAAGACTCCAGACTTAGAGAACTTGGGATGAGGATAATCAGATGCCACAGGATGTAAGAGGAAGGAGGGAATCACAGAGGAAGGGAGAACAATAAATGGAGGTCAGAAGTAGAAGTGGACTAGAAAGCTGGGAAGAAAACCAACCCTGTAGTTAAGTCCCATTGTGACTACTAAGGAGTCACAGGAGCTGATGGCCCATTTCCATTTAACACCCCCCCTCCCCCCAATTTCCAGACCATACCATAAAGATTTTTTAGACCACACATATTCAGGCCTAGGCCTAAGATGTAAAAGAATAAACAATGATGCATCTGGATTTGGCCTGTCACAGGCATCAATGCAATAAACAACGAGTCAGCACTCAGTCATTGAGAAAAGCTTGGTATTTAAAGACTAGTGAGCAGGTGAGTATTATGCCAAGTTTACCACAGGGCTGAGGGTCAGGGGAGACAGTAGAAGTTTCAAGCTTCTTGGTCTCAGGATGCCTTTGGATACTTAAAAATGATTAATCGATCCATAAGGCGTTTGTTTGAGTTAATATCTGTTATTCATGTTATTTGAGATTGAAACTGAAAATCTTTTAAAATAGATTTATTTCTATTAAAATAATAAACCAGGGACTGGGAAGGTGGCTCAGTGGTAGAGTGCTTGCCTTGTATTCACAAGGCCCTGGGTTTGATTCCTCAGCACCACATAAGCAAAAAACAAAAAACCAGAATTGGTGCTGTGGCTGAAGTGGTAGAGTGCTAGCCTTGAGCTGAATTGCTCAGAGACAATGCCCAGGCCAGGCCTAGTTCAGGCCCCACGACCGACAAATAATAAAATAATAATAATAATAATGGGCTGGGAAGGTGGCTCAGTGGTAGAGTGCTTGCCTCTCATGCATGAGGCCCTGGGTTTGATTCCTCAGCACCACATAAACAGAAAAGGCCAGAAGTGATGCTGTGGCTCAAGTGGTAGGGCACTAGCCTTGAGCTGAAGAGCTGAGGGACAGCGCCCAGGCACAGAGTTCAAGCCCCATGACTGACAAAAATAAAAATAAAAAAGAAAATAATAATAAACCAGCTATAGTTTAATATAAGTAGCAGGTCTTATAAAATATTATATCAAAAGCAAAATACATTTTATTGAGGAGTGTGGGATTATCTGTTTTTGAAAATCTAATACCTGGTTTAATAACATGGCTAGTTTCTCAAATCTTTTTGCATTTAAGCTGTTGGGATAAAAGAACATATAGGAAAAACAAAAACAAAAGAATTTATAGGATCTACAAAAGTATATAATGTGTACTAGTGAAAGAATGAGAGTAAAGGCAATAATAATATTATTGTAATGAAAGCATATTAAATTTACAAATTCCTTGAAACTATGTCAGACATTCTCCCCTGCAGGAATCCTCAATTCATATTTTGAGAACTTGAGACAATATTTTTGATTTTAGACAATTCAGTAGTCCAATTCTAAAGAGAGACTGAAAACATTATAAGTCAAAATTGCTATTAGATAGTTATACATGGATACACTCTGGAGCAAACCAGGAACATACTGATTTGTAAAGACAAGAGGTCAGAATTGTTTATATTGATATGCCAGAGTCAGATCATTCAAGCTGCTATAGCAATATACCATAGGCTGGATGGCTTACAAACAAGAGAAATTTCTTAGCGTTCTTTAAGTTGGAAAGCCCAAGTCAGGGTGCAAGCAAATTCAATGCCTAGTGAGGGCCTACTTTCTGGCTCATAGTTTTGGCTGTGTCCTCACAGAAGGGAAAAGGAGTTTCTCTAAGATCTCTCTTATAAAAGCACATTTCATTTACTGTGTATTTACCCTCTAGGATCTAATCCCTCCCAAAGGCTCCACCTCTAAAAGCTTTCATATTGAAGATAAAATTTTAACAGTACATACTTAGTCTATTGCCATACATATATTTATATAATTTTTAATGATTTATTTACTTTTTTTTGTCAGTAATAGGACTGGGCTTGGGCACTTCCCTGAGCTCTTCAGCTCAAGGGGAGCATTCTACTACCACTTCTAGTTTTCTGGTGATTAATTGGAGAGAAGAGTCTCATTGAGGTTCTGCCTGAACCTTGATCCTAAGAAATCAGCCTCCAGAGCAGCTAGGATTACAGGCATGAGCCACCATTAAGATAATGATAACTATCATTGTGAAGATTAAAAGGTGTTTGTGACTTTAAAATTAATAAATAAATAAAACTTAATTTCAAAAAAAGTTTAAAATGTTTCTCTTTAGCCTTACAGAGTTCTCGTAACAGCCCTGTGAGACAGATGTTTAACTCCTATTAAGTTCTATAAAACTAAAGACTAGAAAAGCTAATTATCTTTTCTCTGAGGATTTTTGGATAAAATAGAAAAAGTTTTTTCAAATTCCTATTCATCCATATTAATTAGCTTTTGTTGCTACTTTTAAGCTTAGTAGCTTTAAAAACAAAAAAAGGAAGCATGCACATAGCTCACATTTCTGCAAGGTAACTACAGTTAGCTAATCTAAATTAAGATCAGAGTGTTTTTCCAAGTTTCAGAATCAACTATGGTGCCCCTGCTCTGTGGATATATCATCCCCTTCATATCATGTAGCAAGCCAGCCTATCTTATCCCAGTGATGGCAGAGGAAGAAGTATAGGAAAAGTGACTCTCATAAGGCCTTTGAATTAGAACTGCTACTGCTATTTCTACTCACATGCCACTGGCCAAAACTCAAGGCAAAAGGAAGTGCATATATTCCACCTATGAAGAAGTATGGTGAAGTCATGCATGGTAGTACATTCTTAATCTCATCACTAGGAAAATAAGCAGTAGGACTGTAAGTTTGATCCTAGCCTGGACTACATAGTGAGTTCCAGGCCAGTCTGAGCTATGAAACCCTGTCTCAAAACAAGATAAAGCAAAACAACAAAGAAGCAATAAAAAGTCACCATCAACTAACTATAGATCTGAAAGGTATTACAGTCTCTGACTGAAAAAAACAAAAGTAGGCCAGGTGAGCCGGAGGCTGGCCAGGCACTCACAGCTAAGTTATATGTTTCCTATTTAAACAATTTTATGCACCAATTAAAAAGCAAGGTTATTCTGACATTGTGATTGGAATACGTAAAATACTACCATTCCATAACCATGTAACATCACAGACAACACTGCAAAACCAAACGACCATCTCTTCCTCCCAGCTAACCAATGTGATTGTTGCTTCTTTACCACTTATAACTTTAGCTCACTTTGTTCCTCCCACTTCCAAACACTAGTAAAATGCCCAATCATAGACTTATCCTCCACTTCCCAACATTCAGAAACAAGCTCTTTTTTCTTTTTAATGGAACTTTCCCCAACTCTTCTAATATAAGCCTAACTCCTATAACAAGTAATTATGGAGCCTCAATGAGAGTCTCTAATATTTTCTTTCTGATATGTGCTCACCTTTGAATTCTCCTTAGAATGTGTAATTGCTTTATATTGTAGACATCCATGCTGTAAAAAGTACCAGTAAATTCATATGGTTGGATAGCTGGTGAGCTTGGCTAACAGTTTGACCATAGTCAGACTTGACTCCCAGCCTCCCAGTATTCACTTAAACTTGGCCCCTGACTTTCAGTTTCCCAGTACAGGAAACTCTCTTAACATCTAAAGCCAAAAGGAACTTCCTGTTCAATGCTCAGAACAACAACCAAAAAAAACCTGAAACAAAAAGAAAGTTCATGACTTATTGATTTTTTATTTCAGTAATCAATTTTCTCAGAAAGAAACAGTTGTTTCACTCTATGTTTCATTTTTATTTTTTTATTTTTTTTTGGGTCCGGTCTTGGGGCCTGAACTCTGGGCCTGGGTGCTGTCCCTCAGCTCTTCAGCTCAAGGCTAGCACTCTACCACTTGAGCCACAGCGCCACTTCCGGCTTTTTTTGTTTTTGCTTATGTGGTGGTGCTGAGGAATTGAACCCAGGGCCTCAGGCATGCAAGGCAAATACTCTACCACTGAGCCACCTTCCCAGCCCTCACTCTATTTTTTTTTTTTTTTTTTTTTTTTTTTTTTGGGTCGGTCGTGGGGCCCGAACTCTGGGCCTGGGCACTGTCCCTCAGCTATTTAGCTCAAGGCTAGAGCTCTGTCACTTGAGCCATAACACTACTTCTGGCTTTTTTTCTTTTTGCTTATGTCGTGCTGAGGAATCAAACGCAGGGTCTCAGGCATGCAAGGCAAGCGCTCTATCACTGAGCCACCTTCCCAGCCCCCTCACTCTATGTTTTATATACACATTCCCAGCATACATTCAATGGTAACTGCTTCCCACATTATTTGAATTAAATGATAATTTGATTTTGCTGATTTCCCAAAGAAATTCATAAAAGGGCTTCGAAAATCTGTCTGCCTTGCCACTACTCCAAAAACAACCTTTTATGAGCCTTCTGTTACTGCAGAATGCACACACACACACACACACACACACACACTATTGTATGTGGACCACTGGATCTTCATTTCTCCAGAATTCTGAGTTTCTGCCTACAAAGGAATTAAAGTTTCAAGATACATAAGAATGAAAAAAATACAGCATTTTAATTATGAGGATAAAAAAAAGATATGATGATAATTGTTTCCCACTTTTCCTTGGGAAATAAAATCTATTGAAAGTTGACCACAAGTTTAGCTGATTCATTTCTCCTTCCCCAAGTAATTAGCAGGCACACCAGTAGTTAGCAAGGTGGGCAGTAGTAAAAGGAAGACAGAGGCCATCTTTCTTTTTTCTCCATTCTTTTCATTTAGTTGAGCTCATTGATGTATATCCTGATGTCTGAGCAGAAGACTACAAATCCATAGTTCTCTATCTCTGTGGGAAACTTTTGCCCCCAAAGTAAATATACCAGGCCACCTAAGGCAGCTTTCCAGAGAGCACTTCCTCCTTCCTCTTTCTGCTGGCCTTTAACTTTTGCCCCTGGGATCAGAACCAGCTTTTTCACTTGGTGGCAGTGACTCCTTGTGCCTTCTCTCAGATCATCATTAGTCCCCCTGCAAGTGAACAGCAGGAAGGTATAGTTACCTCTTTCCAATTTTTCACTCGTACTGGGCCTTCTATTCACAATCCACAGTTCCTCTTGTTCCATCTCCTCGCATCATTTTCTCTCTCTTTTTTTTTTTCTAATTTTATTTGCTTCCATTTCAACCTTCATTGATTTTTCTTTATTACCACTTTTCTTTTAGGGGGGCGAGGGTAGGTCGGTTATGGATCTTGAACTCTGGGCACTGTCCCTGAGCTTTTCTGCTCAAAGCTAGCATTTGCCTACTTTGAGCCATAGCTCCACTTCCAGTTTTCTGGTGTTTAATTGGAGATAAGAGTCTCACAGACTTTCTTCCCCGGACTAACTTCAAACCATGATCCTCAGATCTCAGCCTCCTGAGTAACTAGGATTACAGGCAAGAGACACCCGCTCCTGGCTTTTAATATCATTTCTAAAAACAAATAAGGAATTGTTCTATTATGAACAGGCCCTTTTTAAAATCTTTAATGCTGTGATTCCAAGATTTGTTCATTTTCATACAACTCATTAAGACCTATAGTACCTTACAATTCCTAAAATAGACGGTGTCTATTTTGGTACAACAGGGCCCTATTTGCTGTTTTGTATATGCTTGACCTTACAGGAAGATGAACAACTGGCCCTGATAGTTGATAGATAGCATGGATAGGAAACTGCTGGTGAGGAGGCACAGAGGGTCTTCAGATACAAATTACCAGAGCCCTCCTGGTGAGCAAGAACTGTTGCTGAATATGCAGAACACTGGGTCTGCAGAATCCACCTTTACTTCCTGTCTATTCATCTAGGCTGAAGCTCCTGGCAGACCAACATCCGTGTCCTTCTGCCCCAGAAAGGTGAGACATGGCTGTTTCTCCACATTCCTGCCTCTCCAGGTATCTGCTCACCTTCATGCTCCTGCAGCTGCCCAAGCTGGATTCAGGTAGGTCTCCCCCGCTTTCTTTGTCTCTCTGTCCCTCTGTCTCTCTCTGTCTCTGTCTCTGTCTTTGTCTCTGTCTATCTCAGAAATATCCCAATACATTAAACTGGTCTCTAGAGACCTCCAATAGGGTCTAGGTGGACTTCCTCAAACTACCACAGAAAAAAATAGTGCAAGGAATGCTACCTCTTAATAGGGGCCTAGTCTCAACGGGTCCTCAATTCCCATCCCCTCATCTGGTCTCACTCTGCTTGTTTTGGCAGCTTCCTTTGATGTGATTGGACCCCAGGAACCCATCCTTGCTGTGGTGGGTACAGACACCCAGCTGCCTTGTCATCTCTCCCCAAACGTGAGTGCAGAGCACATGGAGCTACGATGGTTCAGACAAACGTTGTCACCGGCAGTGTTTCTGTACCAAAACCAGCAGGAGCAGGTCAGGGAGCAGATGCCTGAGTACCAAGGGAGGGTGACCCTGGTGAAGGACAACATCACCACTGGACATGCTGCTGTGAGGATACATGGTGTCAGGGCCTCAGATGATGGGGAGTACCGATGCTTTTTCAGGGAGAATGAAAGCTATGAAGAGGCTATTGTGCATCTGAAAGTGGCTGGTGAGTGCACTGAAGAATTCTCACATTCCCTGACTACCATGCTGAATTTATCTGCCTATGGGTCTCTTACTATGGAAACCACCAGATTCATCTCCGAATCTGTTGCAGAGGGTTGGCAGGTCTGCAGTTGAGATAACTGGGAAAGAGTTCCCACAAAGTGAAATATCTTTTTCATAGAGCTTTATTTCAATTATCTTCTGCCCTTTCCCCTTGTTTTTATACAATTATATCATAATTGAGCAATTCCCAGAATTAGGTAAGCCATGTCTATTTTTCACAATCTTGCAAAGTCGTGGTGAGAATCTCACATACTTGAGGCTATTTGTGGATATGACTCTAAGGGCTGAGTGCCTAAGGTCACATAGAGCATAGTTCTTTGCTAATGTTCCTGGTCTATCCAGGAAAAGCCTTTTTTTTTTTTTTTTGCTTTGAGTTTTTTTTCCTTCTTCAAAAGAAAACTCTGGGTGCAATCACAAGGAAAATGCTTGTCATTCTGGATGAAAGTGTACATTGCATTGCAGTCTGATATTCTCATTGACTAGTGATGAGCATCAAATAAATCTCCGGAGCCATGTTTTCCACTGTGAAATTTAAAGTAACAGGCTGGGCTTCTTTGGTGGCTCATGCCTGTAATCCTAGCTACTCAGGAGGCTGAGATCTGCGAATTGAGGTTCAAAGCCAGCTTAAGCATGAAAATCTGTGAAATTCTTATCTCCAATTAGCCAGTAAAAACCCACAAGTGGAGTTGTGGCTCAGGTGTTAGAACAGCCTTGAGAGAAGTTAAGCACCCATAGCTCAAATTCAAGTCTCAGTACTGGCACACACAAAATATTTAATTCTCAGTTATGATCTAAGAGAAAATAACTTTCTCCTGAAGAATACTCTTAAATAGCTCAATTCTAGTTCTCCCCCTCAAAGCCATCTCATAATACTTTCTACCATAGAACTTTTGCTCATCTCTGACGTTCCCAGGATAGACCATTGACACACCTCAAAGCAACTGGTCTTGCTGCTTTTGCCCCGTGTCTGCCCATCTGACTTCTGCCACCCCCTCTCATTTTAAAGGTTAAATTACAATAAGTCATATCTCTATAATAATGTATATAAAATTCTTTTCCCTGCATAATAAAATATTGAAAGGAATCCCTCCTATTCCCATTCCTTTTTTAATTTTTGTCTCTTGCTCTCTTTTTCTTCTATGATTATGAGGCTCCTAAAAGTTCATCCACTGAAAGATTAAGTCTAGCTCCTCTCTTTATAGCTCTAGGCTCCGATCCTCATATCAGTATGGAAGTTCAAGACAGTGGACAAGTGCAGCTAGAGTGCACCTCAGTGGGGTGGTATCCAGAACCCCAGGTGCAGTGGAGAACTTCCACAGGAGAGACGTTATTATCCAGGTCAGTGTCCAAGAATCCTGATGAAGAAGGCCTATTCACTGTGGTAGCTTCAGTGATCATTGGAAGTGACTCCATAGAGAATGTGTCCTGCTCTATCCAGAATCTCCTTCTTGGACAGGAGAAGGAAGCAAGAATTTCCATACCAGGTCAGTGCAACCAATGTTGGATTCTTGTGTTGACACAGTTTCAGGACCACATATGATCTGGGACATTTACTCAGGTGTGATCTCATAGCCGGGTTGTCCACTCTTCCTACCTAAGAGCTTGTTCACTGACTTGAAGAAGAATAAGGATTCTGAACACATATAGAAATTTCAAAGGTGGGGGCTGGGAAGGTGTAGCTCAGTGGTAGAGTACATGCCTTGCAAGTATGAGGCCCTGGGTTCGATTCCTCAGCACCACATAAACAGAAAAAAAAAGCCAAAAGTGGCGCTGTGGATCCAGTGGTAAAGCGCTCGCCTTGAGCTGAAGAGCTGAGGGACAGCGCCCAGGCCCAGAGTTCAGGCCCCATGAATGCAAAAAAAAAAAAGAAATTTCAAAGGTGTCTGAGACAACAAGACAGAGCTCTAGAGATAAATTTTTCTTGTTTTACTATTTCCACCTATTTCTATTTACCTGCTCATCCCCTTTTCATTCCATGCTAGGTCTCAGTATAGATTTCCAGAGTCTTCAGGGAAAGAAATCCTCTCATTCCCTAGGAATTACCTCTGCTATACGCAGAAACCTTTCTTTATTTATGGTCAATGCTTCTTATTCTGTTACACACACATGTGATATTTCCTCTTCATTATTAATCTCCAGGATCCTCTCGGCTCCCATTCTGCATTGCTAGTTAAGAAGAAATTGTTTAGAAAGACCTGAAAAACATTAAATGAAGTCAGCCCAGAGAGACAAAGGATGCATGTTTTTCTCTCCTATGCAGAAAGTAGATCTAATTTATAAAGATACAGACACACCCATACAGAGTCATATGCAAATGTACACAAATATATTAACCATAGTATGATTTATGCAGGGAATTCAAATATAGCTCCTTAGAAACACCAACTCACAGACCAACAACATCAGTACCAGGAAGCTGGTGCTTGAAATGTTCTGGGAGGAGGTTAAGGAGAGGAGCTACCCTCTTACAAATGAAGGGAGGAAGGAAGGGGGAAATGCATATCCTAAAAAAACTGGGGAAATTGAGGGGAGAAGTTAGGTTTGAAGGGAAAGGGAGAATGATGAAAGTGGTGACATGTTGAATGGTAACTCCTTTGAATAACTAATTTTAAAAAATTAAAAGAGTAAAAATAAAATCTCACCCTGAGGAAAACAGGAATTTCTATAACATGTTTCAGTTCATGATATCCTTTATTCCACATGTTCTACCACAAATGACTCTTCATACCTCTCTTTGTCTTCTATGCATTTCCCAAGGCCATTTTTTCTGAAAAGCTTACAGTGGTATTATAGGCATGATTTTGCCATGGTTGGGTTGGAAGTGGTCACCGTCATCTCTTCCATCTGTTTTTAGCATTAGGAGAAAAGCTGTACTTACTCAGAGTTTCCCAACCAGTGTTCTTTGGGATTTTGTTTCAGCTCCCTTCTTCCCAAGACTGACTCCCTGGATAGTGTGTGTGGCTGTTGTGCTAATCGTCTTAGGACTTCTCACCATTGGCTCTATATTTTTTATTTGGAGATTGTACAAGGAAAGAGAGAGGACGAGTAAATTCAGTTCTACAGGTAAGTCATGAAATCCACAGGGACTAGTTACTTGTCAGGAGTGCTTCAGAAGACATTTGGATTCATGGTCTTTAAGATGACTTTTAACTGGAAGATATTTGATTCTAGAATTGTGCAAATGGAATTATGTCTTCTGAAATGGCAGATGCTTAATGAAGAGAGCTCTAGGGTGTAATAAGGGTCAAAACTGGTTCTTTTTTTTTTCTTTTGGCCTAAGCCAGGACTCAAACTTGGTACCTGACACTTTCTCTCCTTTGCTACCAGTCTAAATCAACTAAGCCATGCTTCCAACTCTGAAAGCCAGTTCTAATTGATATTTACTCACTACTTTGACTCTCTTAGTTTCCCAGTAATGATTTACTATTAAAGAGCTAATACCAAGTCAGAAGGAACTTCCCTGAGTATTTCTTGGAAAAAAAAAAAACCAAGACTAAATACTATTCCTTATTTATTGGTAATGTTTCAACAATCAGGTAGTCATGAATCAACAGTTCCTCTTTTATGTGTTTCCTTTACCATTTGTGTTTATTGTAAAAAGCCACTAAAGTAATATTGTTTGTTTTCCAGAGAAACTACTAGAAGAACTCAGTAAGTTCTGTCTTTGTTATTATTTCACTCACAGAGTTTTCTCTCTTGTATTTTATAACCGGTCACTGACAATCTCTGTCTTTCATTGCAGAATGGAAAAAGGCTACATTGCATGCAGGTTAGTGGCTCTGAACTTCTCAAGGCCTTGGAGGCCCTGTCTCCCAGTAATTCAAAGTCCCATGAAGCACGGACATGAGAATAAAGCATTGTAGTCACTTGGATAAGAAGGGGACAAGGTGATAACAAATATGTTAATATTTTGCTTGAAGCTCCCAGAAGACCTTTGGAGGATGGATAGGAGACAAGTCCCTTCTGTTAACATCCCATTAGTAATGTTCAACCCTTAAATTACTGCTAATGAGTTTGGAGCCTAGGTGGAATATGGAAATTTAAGCCAGGAAGGCAGCTCTCCCCTGACACCTACACTTCCATTTTTATGGAGAAAAATCTAGTAGATCCCTCAGTATTTACTGGTGCTCATGTATTCTCTCTCTCTCTCTCTCTCTCTCTCTCTCTCATTTCCAGTTGATGTGACTCTAGATCCAGACACAGCCCATCCTCACCTCTTTCTGTATGAAGACTCAAAATCTGTTCGACTGGAAGATTCACGCCAGAAACTGCCTGACAAACCAGAGAGATTTGACTCCTGGCCCTGTGTGTTAGGCCGTGAGACTTTCACTTCGGGAAGTCATTACTGGGAGGTGGAAGTGGGAGACAGGACCGATTGGGCAATCGGTGTGTGTAGAGAGAATGTGATAAAGAAAGGATCTGATCCCATGACTCCTGAAAATGGGTTCTGGGCTGTGGAATTGTATGGAAATAGATACTGGGCCCTTACAGCACTGCGTACCCCTCTCCCATTAACAGGATCGCCGCGCCGTGTTGGAATTTTCCTGGACTATGAATCAGGAAACATCTCTTTCTATAACATGACTGATGGATCTCATATCTATACTTTCCCCAGCATTTCTTTCTCTGGCCCCCTCCGGCCATTCTTTTGCCTATGGTCCTGTGGTGAAAAGCCCTTGACCATCTGTCCAGTTGTTGATAGGCCTGAGGGGGTTATAGTCGTTGCTAACAGCCAGGACCTTTCTAAGGATATCCCTTTGTCCCCTATGGGGGAGGATTCTGCCTCTGGAGATACCGACACCCTCCATTCTAAACTAATCCCTTCCCAATCCAACCAAGGGCTACCTTAAGAAAAATCCCTGTTCAACTGTTTTCTTTTGCTCTAATTCCTCTCCTCCATCACCCCAAGGTTTCAGCTGACAGCTTCACATAGTCCCTGTTTCTTCCTGTTGGGTTTTGATTACTTCATTTTAGGAAGGTGTGTTGCTACTGCTAATCTGTTTCTGTACCAATAATTGGGAGGGGGGGGAGGGAGAAGGGAGAGGAGGTGATACCTAAAAGATTCTTTCTGATTCCTTAAGGCCAGAACCCACAGAGAAGGATTTGACGCAAATAGCTCAGAGATTAGGTCAACATGGAGTTGAGGCAGAAAGGTCTCTGTGTCTGGAATAAAGGTATGAAGAGAAAGAAGTTTTAAGCAAGCAGAAAACCCAAAAAGTACTGGAAAAGGAAGAGCTTAGTCTAAAATCCCTTTAAGGACACTATGATAAAGAAAAATGAGGTACACTGTTCTGTTTCTAGAAATTTTCTAGTATGTATATATGTATGTATATATATACACACACACACACACACACACACACACACACACACACACATATATATATATCACATTTTCTAAGCCATATCCTACATGATCGATTTTTTTCTACATCTGGAACTGAGCTGTGGGGAATAGGGAAGAGAGAAGAACACAGTGAGCAGGGCTGGAGGACTAGTCAGAAAGGGAAAGAGGAAAGAATTTTTAACAAAAGTCCACAGATTGTCTGCACAGCCTTGCCTCTACACCCTCCTATTCTCCCTGGCTTGAGGGTCAACCCATCCTCACTTGGTTGATGCAACAAATTTCTAGCTCTCCTTTCTGGTTTAGCATCCTATAGTGACATCAACTGCCATGCCTACTCTAGTGGAGTCTGCTTAGCATGGGAAACCAGCTTTCAGACCTGAGAATGAGGCTTCAAAGAGACCTATCTCTGAGTATTGGGACTTCACCGAAGTCTACCTCGGAGAATAGGGCTTCAAAGAGGCCTACTCCTGGAAAGGCTGGCAAACCCCTGGGAAAGGTGTGTTTCTGTTTTTCTTTTCTTCACTGTATAAGAGTGCCTATTAATCTTTTACTGTTTCTGCTGCTCATTGTACTTACTCATGCTCAACATTCCTTTATTTAAAGCTCTTTCTTAAGAGTGTTGACGACTCCAATATCTGATGAGTGTCTTAAAAATATGACTAACTCACCAGAGTTAAGTGCTACCCTGAAACCCCTCTTATGGAGGCTAGTAGACAAGTCATAAGTAAATACAAAAGTATTGGGGGTTTCACGATGTCACTTCAGCAGAAGGAATTGTTTGTAAGAGATTTACAAGAAGCTGTAGGCTCGGCTAGAACAGAAAGAATGTATGGCAATTGCTGAGATAACTACTTAGGAGAAAGAATTTCCTGTTACTCTCTTTCATTTACTAAGAGACTTGCTAGATCTAGGCCCCCGTGACCTTACTATTAAAGAAGGAACAGGAAAGATCTTATGGGACAGTTAAGGCCTCTATAAAAATAAGGTAATGGTTAATTGGTGACAAACATCGAAACCCATTGTATTTCTTAGAGATAAGCCGGAAACAAGTGCCTATCAGGCGACCAGCTGGTGACCTCCCAAGAATGAAGCCTTGCAGCAAGATTGTGTAACCTTTTGCCCTTTCTTATGGAGACTTTTTGCTATAAAAGTTTGTTATCCTCTGCATTAAATCGCACTCAGCATCCACTCCTCTTGTGTGTGAGTTTGTTTGCCATCTCCCCACCTATTCCAGTTCCTCGTCTAGGTGTCCTCCGTCGTCCCGACAGAGCGGGTCTGCGGCAACGTGGGGCCCGAAGGAGTCTCTTCAGTCAAGGAACCTTGGGAGGTAAATATCTTTCTCTTTTCTTTTCACCTGGAATAGTTAGTCTAAGACTCGTTGGGGTGCTGCAGGCCCCTCAGCTGCGGCTGGGAAAGATAACAAGTAAATCATGGGGAGTTCATCTTCTAAGAATAAGGATAGTTTTGTCTCTATTTTAAAACATATGCTAAAAGCACGAGGCATTAAAGCCTCCACAGCAACAGTGAGAGAATTTTATGATTTTGTGTTACAAACTAATCCTTGGTTCCCGGAGGAAGGAAGCCTTTCTCTACAAGATTGGAAAAAGGTAGGACCAGGGATAAAAGAGTTCTACCAAGCTCATGGCTCAGCAGCAGTCCCTATGACAGCCTATTCACTATGAACTCAGATAAGAGATCTTATGGAGAAGACTGAGCTAAAATGCTTAGCCGAGGAAGCAGGTTCCTCAGTCGAAGAAACCTCTGAGTTAAAGAGTTCCAATCAGTGCCCAAACTATGGCACAACGATGGAAGCTACAAACTTAGATAATAAGGAAAAACCATGTATAGATTTGGATGGAGACGGAGACAATAATACTGAAAAAGTGAAAACGCCCGCACTTCCGCCCACAGGTTTTCGAGCAGCTATGTTAGAGGCAAAAAAGCTCGGTGATAGGTGATACTACGTTCACTTTCCCTGTCATTGACCTAGACCATGGCGCACCTCAGTGGGAGCCATTATCCTTAAAAGTGCTAAAAGAATTACAAACAGCAGTAAAAACTATGGGTCCTTCTGCCCCTTTTACTTTAACAATCCTTGACTCCATAGCAACTGATTGGCTAACTCCTTATGATTGGTATCAAACTGCAAAATCGGTGCTAACCCCGGGGCAATACGTATTGTGGAGAACAGAATATGAGGACCTTGTTAAACGAGAGGTGCAACGGCGATTATTCACTACTTCAGGCCCTAAGCCTACAGTCTCCATGTTAACTGGTCAGGAGGATTATGCAGACATTAGAAAACAACTTAAACTCTCAAAGGATATTTTAGAAACCATCACTAAGCTTGCTGTTATGGCCTGGAAAAAGTTACCATCAGGGGAAGGAAAGACCACTGTTTTATCAGGAATTAAGCAACGGCCTGAGGAACCATATGAGGAATTCATAGCTAGGTTGGAGGAAGCTATTACAAGAATGTTCCCTCCTTCTGAGGGATCACAAATCATTCTCAAACAATTGGCATGGGAGAATGCTAATACTGTGTGTCAGAAGTTAATCAGACCAGTAAGAAAAACAGGAAGCCTACAAGACTATGTTAAGGCTTGCATAGATGCTTCTCCTGCTATGACACAGGGACTTGCGTATGCTGCTGCCATGAAAGAAATGCCTTTTCAAACATATGTGAAAAAGGTAACCAGAGGCTCAGGATTTAATCCTGGACAAAGAGTATGTCATAATTGTGGCAAACCAGGTCACATTCAAAAGGAGTGTAAAGCTCAAAAGCAGCAGAAAGGATCAGGAAAAGCACCAGGCTTATGTCCTCGGTGTCAAAAAGGGAACCATTGGAAAAGTGAATGTAAATCTAAGTTCCATAAAGACGGAACTCCTCTTCAAGAGGAAACAAAAAACGGACAGAGGGGCAACCTCTCAGCCCCTCCCCAAGAGAATAAGAAACAATTAGATCATTTGATACAATTTGATGATGATTGGAAAATTGCTGTATTAACTTATACAGGTAAAATAAGCTTTCATATGCCCCAACATCCTTTATTACATTTTTATACTGAAACCCCTGTGATATTTCCAAAGGTTGTGGTTACAGAGCCTTTGGGCGGGGCATTAACTATTTTTACAGATGGATCTTCTAGCGGAAAGTCTGTGGTTTATTGCAGTACAAGACCACCATTAATATCTTATGATTCAACTGTATCTGCACAACAGGCAGAACTTATTGCAGTTCTGCTAGCCTTTCAAAATTATTCAGAGGAGTTTAACCTTTACACAGATTCCCGCTATGTGGTTTCCTTGTTTCCTGCCATTGAAACAGCCCTAGTTACTGGTCAATCTAAAGTAAAAGAATACTTAGTAAAATTACAACAGCTATTACAACAAAGAACGGCAAAGGTATTTGTGGGACACATCAGGGGGCATAGCAATCTCCCTGGACCTTCTTCTCAAGGGAACAAGTTTGCAGACTTATTAACTAAGGGAAGTCATGTAATGTCAGCTTTAGAAGAAGCTCAGGAAAATCATAGACTACATCATCAAAATGCTAATGCCTTAAGAAAGATGTTTCAAGTGTCCAGAGAACAGGCAAGACAAATTATCAGGGAATGTGAGGCATGCCCAGAAGTTTTTCATCCACAGAAAATGGGAGTTAATCCTAGAGGCTTAAAGCCTAGAGTGTTGTGGCAAATGGATGTTACCCATATAACAGAATTTGGGAAACTCGCCTTTGTCCATGTTACTATAGATACTTATTATCATGCCATGGTTGCTACAGCCCATTCTGGAGAGGCTGTGAAAGATGTTATTCAACATTTGGTTAAAGCCTTTGTGGACCTAGGAATTCCTAAGGAAATAAAAACAGACAATGGACCAGCATACACCTCCAAAGCTTTTGCTAAATTTTGTGCACAATGGAAAATCGTGCACAAAACAGGGATTCCGTATAATCCACAAGGCCAAGCAATCATAGAACGGGCTCATCAGACCTTAAAAAATCAATTGACAATGCTTGGTAAGATATGTATGCATTATCCTGCCCATGTAATTGTAACCCCTCTGTACAGTATGTTCTCAAATAAAATAAAATAAAATTTAAAAAAAAAAAAAAAAATCAATTGACAAGAATTAGACAGGGAGGAGGGAAGCAATACTCCCCCCATTACACTCTTAACCATGCTTTACTTGTCCTTAATCATTTCAATGCTGATGAGCAAGGAATAACCCCGATGATGAGACATTGGGGCATGGAGAAAACTACAACTTTTCCTTTAGTAAAATGGAAGGATCTACTCACTGGAACCTGGCGTGGGCCAGACATCCTGTTAACATCCGGGAGAGGCTATGCTTGTGTTTTCCCACAGGATGCAGAATCCCCCATTTGGGTCCCAGACAGACTCATCAGGCCTTTCTTGGGCCCAAAAAAGAGCCAGGAAGAAAATGAAAATACATCAGAAGAGAAAACTGGTGCAGAAGATGAAGACTCTCTCTCTACTTGCCGTATCCACCACTGCGTTAGTACAACAAGTGCACTGGGCACATTTTGTCAATGAGTTAAATAAGAATGTTTCTCTAGCATTGACAGAGCAGCAAATTATTGATCAAAAATTAGAAAGCAAACTAGAG